GGAATGGGTCCCCGACGGGCAGTGCGGAGGCGCGCGCCAGCATCCTCGTCGCGAGGGTGGCGCGGCGCACATGCGCAGTTAGTATACCGGCCTCCGCCAAGAGGGCGTGTGTCGGCGTCGACCTGGGGCATCCGGTTACGGCGCGGGCCGCTACGCGCAGCTCCCGGTCCACCAGCAGTCAGCACAAGGCGGGAGCGGGACGCCGCGGGGAGCCATGCGGCCGCCGCATGCTCGATGGCGCCGCGGGCGTAGCTGTTGGCCAACGCGCGCAGGTGGTGCTCTATGAGTCCCCACGAGTGGCCGATGAGCTTCCGCAGTTGGGCGGTGCGGGGACGAGCCTTCCGCTCGAGGTTCGCGCAGTGCTCTCCAACGTGGAGGAGCCAATCGAGCATGTCCCCCAGCAGCTTGGCGGTGGGGGTCACTCGGACAGGTACGCTGGACACCTTGATGGCGGCGTCTTTGACGTCACGGCTCCACTGTGAGAGCACCATGATCTGGGTCCTCTGGCTCTCGATCATCATCTGTTCACGTATCGCCCATCTTGTCAGGAGGTCCACATAGTCTTGAGCCGCGGATAGAGCTGCCTGGATTGTCGCACCGGCGCTGAGGGTGGCAGTGTTATCGAAGCACATGAAGATGGCCGTTCGAGGGGCGTGGCGGAGGTGGGCGATGAGGTCAGCCGACCAAAGTGTGTAGAGGGTGGGGGGGGGGAACCGAGGCCTGGGGAGGTCTGCTCTTAACCCGCGCCGTGGTGGGGTCTGTTTATAACGCGTTCTGGAGGGGGGGGGGCTATTTTTTGCCCCTCCCCCTCCCTCGTAGGTATCTCCGAAACTGCTGGACAGATCCGCAAAATTCAAAGGGCGTTCGAAAGCCCTCTCAAATTTGTCGAAGGAAATCAAATTTCGAACCGAACGACGTATTGATGTTTCGTATTGCTGTATTCAGTGGCGGATCCAGGGGGGGGGTCAAAATGGGCATTTGCCCCCCCCCCCCAAACGGGATAATTTTAACATTACGCCTATGGACGATGCATGGAAAGAATCGATAAATTATTATGGTTTGCCCCCCCCCCCCCAAATAAAACTCTGAGCTGGATCCGCCTCTGACTGTATTTTAGTGTCTCGTGTGACTTGGCTGAAGAAGGGAGCCGAAGTGCTCTCGAAAGCTCTCAATAAAACTATAAAGCTGGTGTCAAAACAACTTTTTTGCACATTAATTATGTCCCAGCTGAATAACAACATATACAACTAGTCTCCCTCGTGCTTTTTGCTTGTTCCAGCCGTCTTGGACCGTCTGTAGTAACCTGGCCAGGTTGTCCTCTGCTGCAAGGCCGCAGCGGAATCCCACCTGCTCTGTGGGAATCAGGCGATGGAGGTTGCACAGGTGCGTTAGCCGCGCCACCACCATCCGCTCGGCCAGCTTCGCTACGGAGCTGGTGAGGGTGACGAGGCGGTAGCTGGATGCCTCGGGGGGGGGGGGGGGGGGCGCCCGGACTACAGTGGTCATCGGCGAGCTGGATGCCTCCTTCGGGTCCTTCCCGCCATTTCAATTTGGGATTATGACAGCTCTCCCCCAATCCGCAGGGATCTCGGCTAGTGCCCAGCTCTTGTTGGCGAGTTGGAGCAGCCCGTCCCTGGCTCGGGGGCCCAGGTGCTGTAGGTGCTCCGCGCACACTCCATCCGGGCCCGGGGCCTTCTTGGGCTTCAGCTTCTGGAGCTGGGCGTCGAGCTCCGCGGCGAAGAAGGGCTGGCAGGCGTCAGTCCTCTGGTTCTGGCAGGTGCAGGGGGCGCGCCTGCGGCTCTTCAGCTCCGCCTTAGTGAGCATGTTCCATTTCTTCCGTCTCACGTGCTAGCTGACGGGCCTGAGGTGTCCCCACACCGTCCACCTTGGGAAGGCGACACTCAACGAACGGCACTGTTTTTAGGTCGAACGAACTTTTACTACGAACGAACGCACTACAGTGAACGAACTTTTACAAAAAATTGCATTGCGGCGAAAATTGACTCGTGGTTCAGAAGATAAGTGCTTAAAAAAGCAAGTCAGTTCTCCCAAACCAATGAGTAAATCTGGGATAGAACTGAATGCTCTTTTAAACTGTAAGTTTCATGGACCTAAATGATTAAGCAGAAAACTCGGTGTGATGTGCGACGTGCTCAAACACCCGCTAATCAAACGATTAATACCACTAAGACCCGAGTCAATAAGCTGCATATCATTATATCAATGACAGATGTGGAATATTTATCTGGAAAACCGGAGTAAGTTCCAATCGTTACGAATTACGATTTTTCGTCAGCAATGGAAATAGAAAAAAACGTCAAAAATCACATATCCCAATATAAGCAACACCCCTCGCGTACGTAGCACGTGCCACTCACCGAACCACATACCATCCAAAAGGCTAATTAATAATCATCTACACATCAGCGTTCGGCCCAGGTCGATCGGACGCCACATTCCCGATTTATCGCCACGGCAAGCGACCCTCGCCGCCCACTTTTCGACGTTCCGACAAATTTCGACCGCAATATTCCCATGTTGAGTATATGGAGAATTCGGCGCTTTTCAGCGCGTGCAAGTACCAGCCCTACCCCCATGACTCACACAAACCGCGTGTCCGTGACGTCATCAACACGCCATGAATCATCAAACACCCCGCTCGACCCCACCGTGAGACCTGCGCACGACGGCCAAGCACACTGACACCTCTGCACCGGTACAAACAGACAGAAACACATACAGAGTTTCCTTTCACAAAAAGTATAGTAGATCGTAAGGGAGCACTTACAACATTTAACAGATTGGCTTTGGGTAATTTTTGGCGCTTGTCTTTTGGTAACTATACGTACGTTATCAATGCTGACCATTAATAGTTATTTTCTACTGGCATGGAAAATCATACTGCAATGCGGCAAAACTTGAATTGGTAGTAGCACAGAGAACAGTAGTATTGTACTATTGTTATCTGTGGTAATATCGTTGTAATTGTTGTATATTTTTGTTGTTTATTTTTGCAGCATTTCCATTGTCGTTCTCTGTGACAAAAAGGCTGTCACATCTATTTGCTACAACTGTGCTGGTCCTGTCTGTCTGTCTGTCTGTCTGTCTGTCTGTCATAGGCAACGAATCGTCAAAATGCCTGAGTGCTTTTTCTTTCGGCACCTGAAGCCTCAGGGTCATATGTGAGGCCATTGGAAGTCAGGTCAGATGTGACCCCAACTCCTCATAGGAACCCGTGTAGGACCTCAGAAGTTTTTTATTTTCTGTGAGAGGCCAGCAAAGGCGCTCAGAGATTTGGGTGGGCTCTAAGAGATCTGCTGCGCGGACCCTCGGACAACTGCGCAATATTGGTCCTCTGAGGTTCACGTGGGCCCTCAGAACCTGACGTAGTACCCTTTGTTCAGCCCTCAAAGATGGCTGACGAGGCCCTCAAAGATATGTGGGTGGTGGGTCTTCAGAGACAGAGAGGGAGTAGGTCATTATTGTTTGTTTGTTGGGGGTTAGGGGCGCGCCGACTGCGAGGTCATTTTGCGCCCATAACAGAGATTTTAAATACGTCTTTAATTACTTACTTATTTACGTTTTATGCTTAGGAAAGGAAAGTAACGGCGAATTTGGCTGCACGGATAAAGGAAAATATGCTACCGTTATGGATCCAGCGCGAATTATCTGAGAGAAGGTCTAAGAGAGTCACTGTGGGCGCAGGGACACCCGGAAGAAAACTTAACTCTTAAAAGTTAGAAGGGCCGAAGGGCCAGTGAAGGCCCCCTAAGCCCATGGAGGAGGATGGTAAGGGTGCTCCCTGCGACACCCTTGGCTACGCCACCCGCCCCCGCAGACGCCAATGACAACTGACTAATTACAAATAACACTATAACTAATGACGCTGGCAGGCCAGGTTGCCAAAGCCCACCGATGTTTAACACACGAACACTACACTGATTGCCCACCAGTTGGCACACGGTGACTATGAGGTGATGTCGATGAGCTATGAGCGGCAGTGAATGTTAGCTGACCTGCATCGCCTTCATGGGCGCAGGACTGTACCCGTTATCAGTTCTGACAGACACCAGCTCAGGAAGGTGATTAGGACAGTGCACATACAGGGTGTCCGGAAATTAGTTGCCCCTTCATCAGGTCGCCGCCATAATTAATGAACAAAGAGCCCCCGGTCATAGTTTATTTAGCGATTTATCCCCTGCCCTGTCCTACCCATTCCCTCACCCGCTTTGGCATTCCATAGATCAACATGTCCAGAGTATCCGCGCTGATGTTCAGCCACACCTATCACAGGTTCCTGTAAAGTCCGTGTTCTGTGGGAGCTGGTTCAATCTTGATGAGCTCCTCCTTCATGATTCTCCATGGGTTTTCGATTGGAATTAGGACAGAGGATTTTATTTGAGTTCCTACTTTATTTCAGTCTTCACCATAACTTCAGCGCGATGACGCTTTGTCAAAGAGAATCTTTCGTCATAGTAGACACCACGTTCAGGTGCGAGTTACGCCTGCCAAACACTGGCCCCTGGCGCCTCGCAAGTGTCAAGGTCAGGCGACCAGGTTAGGTCATGTGACTAACGAACAGCTGTGGATAGCCTGAGGCACGCTCTTAGTAAATTTTCAACAATTCTTAAAGCGCACGGTGGTATTATAGCTGAATGAACAAGGGGCAAATAATTTCCGGACACCCTGTACAATAAACAGTTACATACCGCCGCAGTCAGGACAGCACACATGACCAGGGCTGCGAAATCGGAGTTGGAGACGGCGACAGAGTCGGTTGGAGTCGACAGTTGTGACTGGAGTCGGAGTCGATTTTGGAAACTGGAGCCAGAGTCTGAGTCACCGAAAATCCGTAAACTCCGCAACCCTGCCAGGTTTGCGGAGTCGCAGTCGGAGTTGGCTTACAAGCAAGATTCAGAGTCGGAGTCACCGAAAATCCATCGACACCGCAGCCCTGCACATGACGGCAGTCCCCGCGGCGCACCGGCCCCGGTACTTACCGACCAGTCGCTCCACATCGTCGACTAGACGGCCGAGCCTGCCCTGCTCGGCCTCCAGCCGACTTCGCAGCTCGGCGTTCTCCGAGCGCAGGATGCCAATGATGGACTTCAGAGCCGCCGGCGGCTTGTTGGCCAACTCGGTCATGTCGGAACTGCCAGCGTCGGGAACGGGAGAGGTGCCCCGCGGAGCGTCGTCGACGCACTGGAAGTCGTCGTAGCGTTTTGGCCGTTTGATGCCGCGGGAGGCGCGTCCTTTGGCCGAGCGGGAGGGAGAGGCCGGCGCCGCCTTCTGTGAGGTCCTGGCGGCGAGCGCATGAAGCACTGTCACCGACAGTCACATACCGACAGCCGGGCACTGTCACCTACAGTTACACACCGACAGCCGGGCACTGTCACCGACAATTTCATGGACTGTAAGCCCGCTGGCGCCATATCACAACAGTGCAGGTGTCTTTCTCCATATGGTCAAAGCCAATGAAAAGATAAGAGCGCAAAGACAAATGAGTTAGCAGGCAGGATATACGAATTCATATTAGACAATCAGAAATATCGCCTGTATGCACCCTACGCGAAAAAGGCCAGAATGTCTAAGATCATCTGCATGTTTGTCTCTGTCGAATTATCTGTCAAGCATCTCTGACTGTGTACCTCTGTCGACAGTTACCAAAAATATCACTTCACCGACTGCGTATACTTTCGATTTATCCCGTCATACTCGTGTATCACACCAGATAGAATCTGATATACTTCCATCCCAGTTATGAAAAGAATGATTCGATAGGCAGCCCACGTCGGTTGGCCACCGAAGTGCCACACTTTGTCGGCGCTGACGCGAGGAGAACTTACTTGTCCAGTCGCCTGTCGGGGACTGCCGTCGGCCGCAGCCGCCGGTCGGAGAGTCGGAGTGGGCCACCCGTGTCACCGTCCGAGCCGCCACAGTTGGGTACCACCAACGGCTGGAGACGTGTGTTAGGGTCAGGGGGCAGGTCGCAGTACACCAGTCAGGGGGCAGGTCACAGTAAACCAGTCAGGGGGTAGGTCACAGTACACCAGCCAGGGGGCAGGTCACATCCAACCTCACACGTGACTAGTGACTGTGACGGATAAACGCCTATCACAGCCTGGTTTGGAAGTGAGGCTTCAGGGCGCCGACTGTTACTGAGGTGACCTTCCGCCCATCACAGCAGAACGTCACAGCTTGTCACTTACCGGGGTTACATGAGCGATCCGTTCCAAATACGCACTACGCTAATGCGCATCAGCTCCCCACAAACGGATCTACGGCACCGGTTACATGAGACTAATTCGTTTTATCTACGTCAAACGGATCTTGTTTGGCTCACCCGGGCTGACTCCTCGACGGCCGGTAATTCGTATCACAAACGGAATAGGATTAGCGTACAATCATGGCGCAGTTGCGGCATTTACCGGGACGACTCAGCTAAATTTTAAATACTTATATCATTTGATAGGCTCAAAAACATTTAAAATTAACATGAAATCAAAAAATGAAAACAAAGTTTTCTTGTTTTAAGTCAGTGGGCACTGATTCGCCATGCAGCGACAGCAGGGTGGTCAGAAAAAATTATCTATAAAAATATTTCATTCATTTTATTTCACATGCAAAGACTAAACCAAAATACCAACATTTTTTTTTGCTATTTTCTACGAGGCAGCCAATAAAAAAATGCTTAGTATTTTGCATTTTGACGCTTCCAGTCAGCAAAGAATAGTCCTTGTGAAATACGGCCCGAATCGTGTGCCTCGGACGTTTCGGTTACATGAGCGATCCGTTCCAAATACGCACTACGCTAATTCGCATCAGCTCCCCAAGAACGCATTCAGTGCACCGACTACATGAGCAAAAATTCGTATCAGTGACGTCAAACGGATCTAGTTTGGCTCTCGGCCCGATGCGCATTACAAACGGAATAGCATACAAATGTGGCGCACTTCCGTAGCAATAGAGGTGACTGAATTAAAAACTCAATATCTTATGTCTTTTTTGCATTTAATCTGCTCAAAACATTCTCAATTAACTTAACAAAAAAAAGTTAAACATAAAGTTGTCTTGCTTCGACTCATTGAGCACTTGCCTCTCTTGATTTGTCCTAGTGCTGTCAGAAAAATGTTTCAACTGAAAGTACTTTGATATTTTCTTTTTGGTTTTCACTCTATTTATTTGTGAAAACTTGACAAAATACCGACATATTTTTTCAATTATTATTTCAAAAGAAGCAAATGAAAAAATACCCATTATTTTGCATTTTAATGTTTCTTTTTGGAAAGAAATAGTTCCTGTAATACGTATCTTGGTCCAATTCGCTTCTAAGCCTCTTTCCCTGCGGATTTTGTTCGGACCGCCGATTCGTATTAGCAGGTGGATACATGAGTCGGTAGTACGCTCCTGATTCGCATTAGCGGTGGATCCGATCGTGATACGCATTTGCTTTGCTCATGTAACCGCGGATCGGATCACCGATTTGTACTAGCAGGTGGCTACATGAGTCGGTAATGCGTTCCTAATTCGAATTAGCGGCTAAATACGTATTTACTGTGTTCATGTAACCCCGATCAGTGGGATTAGAAGTTAGGCCTCGGCCGTTAACATCAGTCAGCTGAGTGGCAGTCAGCTGCCAAAGCAGACCAGCTGTCAGACTCGAACCGCGCGCACTCGGGTGTTGTTCGCATCCAACCAACTGGTCACTGGTACAGTCCACAGCAGAAGTAATGTGCGGTTTCCGTCATGGGTATGTTCCGCTTCTGAATCTTAGGAACGATTAGCCAGACTACAATTAAACTTTGAATGTAGTTTACATGTATCGTCACCCTTGCAGCAGCTGCAACTTTGTCTATTGACGTCTTCTTTTCGGTCACTCTGCATTAAAAAATCGTCAGTCAAAGCCATCCGTTGAGATTGATAAAACCGCAGATTACTTTAGCGATAGGCTGTACCTTTATCTCGTCGTCAGCACTCTGTAATGTAACGTGGCGCCCCTCGTGCTTCTTGGTGTTGTTGAAGCAGACTCGGTTCCGAAGAAAACTCAGGTGTCGGTTGTTTCTTCTATTTAGCCATAGCCGAGCAGGGGACACGCTAGCGTTACGACCCGGTGGATCTTGCGCCGCCCGTCTCGGGAGTGAAAAAGTGGAGAGTGAATCCGGGGCAGATGTTACAATACCTCCCCCACCCCTTATAAGCAAAGCAATTTACGCGAAATTGCGTCGAAGCCGGAGCCTGAAGGGCACAGGATTAGCGTAAAACAGGCGCCAGGAAACTTAATCTAACGCGAGAATAACATACAGTAGAATACATTGAGCGAGTACAGAAACAAAACACACGCGGAACACTATCATGGTATCTACAGGGTGGGGCAGAAAGATTTACCTGTTTGTTTTCGGTCAATAACTCAATAAGTTATAAACGGATTTTGATAAAATTTTGCATGCAGCTTCCTAACTGACTCATGTATCAACATTATGATCCTTTTGCATTTTGTAATATCTGTTGGCGAGCTATAGCGAAGATGACTAAGAGAGCCCAAATTGCGGCGCTGAAGTAGGTTGGCCATAGCTCCTGAAGCGTTGCCAAACAGCTCGGTGTTGCCGTAAAAACTGTTTGCAATGTTATTAAATGACTTAAAAAGACAGCCTTAGTGTCGACGAAGTCCATGCCAGGCAGAACAAGGGATATCTGCTTCAAAAAGCTGGTAAATATCGTGCACAAGAGGGTGTTTCAAGTTCTAGGCGAAGCATGCGCAAACCGCCAAGGGATCTCGGTGTTTCGCCAAGAACCGCCTGGAGAATCATAAACGACGGCTTGGGCTTCATGTCATACAGTGTGCAACATCGGCACCTAATTTCGGCGGGATCCAGGGAAAAGCGGCTACACAGGACCCAAAAGACATTGGAAGAGATGAGGAGCGCCGGTAACAAGGCATTCTTCTGGTCCAATGACAACATTTTCATGCTTGAGCCCCAGAGACACTCCCAAAGCGTCAGATTTTTGGCAGATGGTCCATCCAGCATTGATCCTGCTATTCGCACCATTTTTCGTCGCCAGCAGCTTGCTGGTGTCTTGGGTTGGGCTGCCGTCGCATCCGACGGCTCAAAAGGAACCTTGGTCTTCATCAAGGAGGCTGTAAAAGGTAATTTACAGGTTTAAGTCCATCTGCTGGAGAAACACGCTTTGCCTTGGGTCACTCAGTCGTTCCGAGACGGATACGTCTTCGTCCAGGACGGTGCGCCGCCGCAAACGGCCAACATCGCTCAACCGTGGTGGGAGACCCACATGCCTGGGTTCTGGGACAAAGACATTCGGCCATCATCAAGTCCAGACCTGAACCCGATGGACTTCGCAATCTGGACCATCTTGGAGAGGAGGGTGTGTGCAGCGGCACACAGCAGAATCGCCGCCCTGAAGCTGGCCCTCGAGACGGCACCGTCGAATCTTGGCGGGGACACCGTGCGGCGCTCGTGCCCCTCCGCAGAGGAACGTTTCGAGGCAGTGGTGAAGGACAAAGGTGACCCTATGGAGTCATAATGCCGTCGCTGAGATGTGTACATGTTACTGCATGTTACTGCGGTCAGTCTGCGACTGACCGCCGCCAGGTCAGGTCACGCGAGCGAGCGCTCCGCTGTACAGTGACCGGTCGCGAGTCGGCTGTGGCGTGTGGTCGGTTTGAGCCGCCAGAGAGTGAAGGTGATAGGTGTCTGAGTGATCACCGGCGGCAGCGAGTGACCAAACTCTTGATCAGCGATGGATGCTAGCACGCTGAAGAAAACAGTGCTGGAGTGTTTGAAGGACGGGGAACTGCGCGGAGAGTTCCAGTCGCTTATCCAGGAAATGGTGACCGGAGCTGTGGCTGAGGCGATGGCCGCTCGAGACACGGAGATCGCCGAGCTCAAGGACCAGCTGAAGCGCACCACGGACCAACTAAACGACCTGGAGCAGTACTCCCGACGCCTCTGCGTAAACATAACAGGAGTACCAGAGACGAACGGGGAATCGACGGATCAAATTGTCACGGACCTAGCCAAGATGGCTGGTGTTGCCGTCACTCCGAGCGACATTGATCGTTCACATCGCATCGGTAAGCTCAGTGATGGGAAGAGTAGACCAATCATTGTCCGGTTTACGAACTTCACCAAGCGACAGGAATTCTACAACGCCCGGAGAGAGCTGCGGAAGCCGCGACCTGTCCGCGGATCCACAGTGTCTGCAGAAACGGCCGGCAAAACCTTTGTCTCAGACAACCTCACGAAGCTAAACCAGCACACGATGTACGTTGCCCGTAACATGAAAAAGGAGGGCAAGTTACACTCCGCCTGGACCGACGTGGGCAAGATGAAGGTTCGGGTGAAGGAGGGAGGCCAAACGAAGATAATCAGGTCGCTTGAGGATCTTTACGCAGTTGCCGACCCAGCTCGCCAGCCTGGGGCCGCCCCTGCCGAGTCCAGCAGCGGCGCCCGAGAGAGCTCCCGTGGCGCATCGGGTCGGGGCAGGAGCGTGCGCGGTGGTAGAGCCGCCCAGTAGCGCCCTCCGATAGCGCGGCCCGCCCCACGCCGAGACGCTTGGCGCCGCCCCTGCGCTGCGGTGCAGCTGTCCTGGTCAATTCCGCGGCGTCTCGGACATGGTCTCTGCTCGACCTGGCCACGCGTTATCTGTCTGCGGATCTTCCCACCCACTCGACTCCGGCGGTGTGACTCAGTGAACTCTGTTGACCTGAGCTCTCCAGCTCGCCGTTTGGTCCAACCGGGACTGGGCTCAGTGCTGTCAGAGTGACTGTAATCAGCCACAGACATACTACAGCGATCGGCGCAGCAAATCAGTAGCAGCTGTCAGTGCTGTGCCGAGCTCGGCGTTCACTGCTGTCGCCCCCCACTGACAGGAGCTACCTGTGCCCGGCGAGCCACCGTAGTCGCGCCCACAGACAGTAGCCCGACCGCGACTGCGCCG